CGCGAACGTGGCCTGGGACCCCGGATACTTGAGTTTTCGGGGGTCTAACATTTTCTCATGTTCATTCAGGTCTAGGAATGTTTTACCTTGTTGACTTTGTGCACATAATTCTCTTGCTGCTGATTGGCAGTGTTATTCCATTGTGATCAGCTGTAATGTAAGGATTTATTTTAATTTCCTGTACTAAGACGTGCCCTGCTATATGATCTACTTTAGAGAAAGGTCCATGACTTGATCAGCCTCTTCCTGAAGCCTGTTTCCTGAACTAGCAGTAATAAGAGTGGGGCCCAACCTGTTTTTGGAGCTGAGCTCCAAAACTTTGTCTTACTTTTCTGCTAAAAATATCCAATGTGCTGAAAGGAAATACAACGAAGCAGATTAATTCAAACCAGGAGTTGGAGAGAAGAGTCATCTATATAATGTCAAAAGATGGTGCAATGGAGACATTCAGCAGTATAGATGACATGGTAGTTTACATGTAATTGGCCCCATAAACTCACAGTGAGTGGCTCTATTAGGAGGTGTGACCTTGTTGAAGTAGGTATGACCTTGTTGGAGGAAGTGTGTCACTGTGGGAGTGGACTTTAAGGTCTCCTATGCTCAAGCTTGGTGTGATACTCAGTCCACTTCCTGTTGCCTGCTGATTAAAATGTAGCCAGCATCATGTCTGCCTGCATGCTGCTATGCTCCCCACCATGATGTTAATGGAGGGAACCTCTGAAACCTCTGAAAAATGAGCCACCCCAATTAAATATTTTCCTTATAAGAGTTGCCATAGTCATGGTATCTCTTCACAGCAATTCATTATTCACAGCATTGGACACCCTAAGATAGAAGTAAAGGCAACATAAAACAAAAATTAAGCAAATGAAAAATAAGTATGACCTCTGGGATACAGTCAAAAGACCAAACCTAAGAATCTGAGAGTACGAGGAGCTGAGTTAAGCAATAAAGGCCTGGAGAACCTGTAGTATCTGTAAAAATAATGGAAGAAAATGTAGAGGGAATAAATATTATGCCCTGCTTGAAGCCTTAGCTAGATCAACAAGACAAAGAAGCAGGATGCAGACAGGAAAGGAAGAAGTCAAATCCCTATTTGCAAACAAAAAATCCTATCCTTAAAAACCCTGAAGACTCCAGAGAACTTAGTTCTAAGAACACTCTCAGCGAAGCAGCTGGTGCAGAATTAACATATAAAACCATGGTTTGTGGTGCTTCTTTTATTATCTGAGGAGATTCCTGTCCTACTTTGAAGAGAGAGAGAGTTAGTGGGACCCATGAATGCCAAAGTACCTGAAGGGATTAGAGGAAACTGAAGGGGCGGCATATGTAAAATATATTAAGAACTGCAAATATTTAACACCCCAAACCAAAATCATTCATCAATAAATACACTAGTGAATTG